ACATCTCTTTCCATCACTATAGCCTTTGTAGCCTCACCTTAGTATCACTTTCACACACTTCTTTCACACATACATAGCTATATCATCTTTCCCTTAGGAACCCTTTATCATGAGATCTTGTTTCCTTACTATAGACACTCATTTATGTCTCCCCAAAACCAAAAACAGTGATGAGTATCTTTCACGTCGAAACATAATCGAATGAAGTGAAAGTGTGGAAAGTCTAGTGTTGCGGTTAGTTTTTATTTCTTTTCTTTCTCTCTGTTTTTAAAAACCTATTTAAGAAAATAGCCAATCCATTTTAGTTTGGTCCATGGCAAGGGTCCAATAATTGTGTAGTTGGGTCAGGTTCAAAATGAGCTTTCCAACGATATATTATAAGCCCGATTTTGATGAATAATGAGGAAGTTATGGCCAAACTACTAAACTGGACCCAGTTTGATATTTATGTGCGGCCTAATGATCTAGAGGAGGGCCTAATATTGATTTATCATTCCTAATGCAATTAGAATTGATTATATTATTCTATATTCTTCTTAGCATTGATAAATTGAATTTAGTTGACTTTTAAGAGTTTTAGTCAGAATAAAAAAAGTGTTTTTAAGGAAAACACAATTTTTCCCTCTCGTACAACCAAATTTTATCAAATTAAGAAAATGCGTGGAAATTTATATTCAGCGTCTGACGACAAGACCAGCGCCTGGCGCTATACCTGGCGTCTGGCGCTAGAGTCCAGCGTCTGGCGCCATGCGCGTATTTGGCACTGTGGTCGTGTTTTATTCTTTTCGAAACTCTGATTCGTTTTTTATCATATCCGGCTGATTTTCTCTATAAATAACCTCCTAAAACCTCTGTTTTCAATTATCATCAATTCTTATCAATTCTCATTAATTTTCATCAATTCTTCCCATCAATTTCTTATTCTCTCTTTCACCAACTCTCATCAAGAATCTCTTGATTACTCTCTCTCTCTTTCTCTCTCTTTTCTAAACTAGCTTTTGCATACAAAATTTCGCATTCACAAAATCTAGAAACACCTAGCATAGTTCGAAGTTTCCTTCGCCCTAGACGTGAAAGGTTTTGATACTTCTGAGGGTTTGGTCCTAAATCTAGTCTAAACTTTCTTAATTCTCTCTTTCAATTATTTAATTTAATTGTTTAATTTTATATTTTCCTTGAAGTTACTAACGTGTGTATTTTTTTATTATAAAGAGATACGAGTTAACCAAGTAAGTACTTTAATTGATTTATTGATGTTATGATATGGAAATCATGTCTAGGTTGTTATTATGACTCCTAGTGCCATGTTAGGGCGTTTTGATCTTTCTAGTATCATGTTTAGGGTAATAACCATAAATTTAATATTAAATATGATAATTGTTATTTCTATGATGCCTTCCTACTTTCTTTATAATATTAATGTTAGTATCATGTTAGGGTTAAAACTTTGATTTTTATTGTTTAGTGACATGCTAGGGTTTGTTATTAATCTTGTTAGTATCGTGCCTAGGATCTTGCTATTATTATGCTTTAACATGTTTATGATTATTATTTTTATAATTATTATTATGATTATTATTGTGTTGCTTGATATTTATTTGTTATTGCTTGATCACACCTTTTATGCATGTTTAAAGGGAATTGGTACTTGTAATTACGCTTAATAAGATAATTAATAATCTTGTTAGGGTTAATATGATTATAATTCAAGTGATCGCCAATAATAGATTTGTTTGTGCATTAATATTCAACCAACATAGATTAAACAGGTTTAGGACAAGTGTTCTAATATCTTTGATATGAAAATATCTTTGATAAGAACACGTCTCGAATTGCGTCTCTTATCGAGTGCTCGGTACTGTGCCTGAGAAACATGAACGCCAAGTGAGTTATAGACCACATGATCGGGATTTCCCATACTTATAAAAAAAAAATAAAGCAAAAAAAATAAAGCAAAAAAATAAGAGCTAAAAAAGAGTGAAAAACCTCAAGCATGATAATACAAATATTCCAAAACCAAAGTTGCACACCTTGGGGGCTTATCTAGGGTCTTGAGCCTTTTATCCCCTTCTTCTTAAACCTTTAGCCTAACCACGTTACAACCCTTAAAAAGACCTTTTTGAGGTATACACACACTTGTGCGAGTTTCGGCTAGAGCTACGTTTGGCCTGATTCCTAACAGATACGTAGGCAACCTCACATTGAGGTGTGGCCGTAATAAACATGCATTCATAGTTACATTCATAACTGATCATATCAAGAGATCTCCAATGCTCATTCGTGTTTACTTAGAGCTAGACTTGGGGGCTTGATCCTTACATTGATAGCCTACATAGCCTAAGAGTCACCATCATTTGACTCTTTTCAATATATTTTCCACACACTTAGCCCTTGCAGCCTAACCTTAGTGTCACTTTCACACACTGCACAGATACATGACCAAATATACTTCCCTTAGGAACCCTTTGTCATGAAATCTTAACATAACGTTGAAACATGCCTTGTCATATCAACATCAATCATCATTGCATCATAAAGTATAAAGTACTTAGCCTCCGCGCCTAAGTTACTGACGTTGGGTGAACTAGGTTGTTGGACTAATCCTCCCTAAGCCAAACAAAATTTATAAACACTTAAATAACCTAAATATAAGTATAGAGGTAACTCAAGGGTCGAACCCAAAGGAACGGTAATGTCTAGTGCTTTCGATTTGGGTGCCTAAGCTAGGTCGAAGACAAAGGAAAGAAGGTGACACTAACAACTACTTAAACGAAGAAACCGAACAAATAAAGTGCTAGGGATTAGGATTCACATATAATAACAATGAACATAGAAAATTGGGATAGGAAGTTGACTAAGTCGAGTGATGCCAGGGAAAACCAATCATGCAACCAAAAGAGCATATCAAGCTATTTTCCTAGAGGTCTAACTAGCGTCAACTACGATAAACTCTAGCTAGGAACTTCACAAGACACCTCAATCGTTAAATGCAAGCCATAAATCAATGGTCCATATCAATGTGAACCTACAATGCAATCTAGTGTGAATAATTAGGGTGATCAAGCCTAAATCAAACACACACATGCACATAATCAATCAACCAATTTAATCACATCATCAACTCCATCAATTATTCCCCAATTTACATCAATCCATCACATCATATAAGCTTCACCATCACCCTATCAAGCAAACTACTCTAGCAACATCATCAAATCAACAAAGAACTATAGAAAACAAGAATCAACACTCAAAGAAGAACAATTACTCTAATCAAAGATCAAAGATCAAAATCCAATAAAAAAACAAACAAAAATGAATATTAAACAAAACAATAAATGAGATATAGTTTAGAAATGCTCATTGATAATAGAGAAGATCTCCGATACAATTGTCACCATTGAATCTTCAATCTCTCAATCACCATTGTGTAGACACCTAAAAATGTCTCCCCAAAACCAAACCCATTGATGAACGCCTTTCACCGCCATTATTGGTCGGGTTAAGTATTTAATATTTGGAGTTCTTAAATCCATGTTCTATCCAATATATTTCATGAACCAATCCAATTTCTAGCTCATTTCCCTAAACCATAACTTATTTTCCACTTTTCGTGTCCACATCACAAAACCGAGAGTAACTGATTTTATGGATATAAAAATTATTATTTTAAGGTATAGGCCTTTAAATAAGCTTTCCAAACATATATCATAAGCCCAATTCCGAGCTATAACGAAAAAGATATGAGCAAAACACTAAACTCGACCTAAAATCAACACCCTTCCACTAAAACGACCATATACTAAAATATACAAATCATTTTGACCTGATTTTTATTGTTATGGAATGTAGAATTGATAATCTTTCCAATGATATACTATATGCCTTATTCAAAGTTACGGATCAAAAGTTATGATATTTTAAAAACGGGTAAAAAACTGGAATCACCGCGCACATTGCAAAAGCACCGTGTCACGGGAGTTTGCCCTGTCTGACGGTGCCTTCCCCCGTCTGACGGTGCCTTGTGCCGTGACACGGTAATGTACTTCGTGTCATAATGCCATTTTTGAAGCTCTTTCGCGACAAATTCCACCGTGGCACGGTACCTGTTGCCGTGACACATTACCTGCCACCGTGACATGGTATTTCCTACCGTGTCATGGTGCTTTTTCCGTGTAATTTCCGCGTTTTCCCATATCATGACACGGTGTACTGTACTGTGCCACGGTGTACACTGTCGTGTCACAGAATTTTCTCGTGTCTTTTCCGCGTAAATCCTTCACGCGTCTTCACTTCCCGTAGGTCAAATATTTCCCGCGTCACTCCAGTTTTCCACCGCGTCACGGGATTTTCCCCCATATGACGGTGCCTGACACCGTGTCACAGTATTCTCTGCCGTGTCGCGGTGTTATTTTTTAGGGTCTTTATCTTTTTAGGGTTCCGTGTGTTCCCTCTACTCATTTTCCCTATAAATAGGACCCCCCTTTCTGCAGTTTGGGGCATCAATAATCATTCTCTCTCACCTTACACCAAAAATAATTCTCTTCTCCCTCTTTAACCTAATTTCTAGCCTCCTTATTCTTCCAAAATAATTTCCCTAAGCACTCCAAGGAGTCTATACTTAACCCGAGGTTCCGTCCTTAAACCAAGGTGTGAAAGGTACAAATAACTGAGGGTTTGGACCAAATCAACTCTAATTTTATTTAATTTAATTTAATTTTCATTTACTTTAAATTTTTTTATTGAAGTTACTAACAGTTTATTCATGATGTAGCAATTTAAAGGAACGTGCGGAATGTGAGTAATTAATTAATTTAATTACTCTTATTTTATTTTAATATTGCTAGTATCATGATTAGGTTATTTTATATTCGATTTGACTAATGATATTATGGTTAAATTTCTTCCAATATTAATGTTAATTTTATTATATTTATTCACTAGTAGAAAAATACAAAAAGGCACAACTCTATGGCCACCAGTTTTTTAAAACCGGTGGCTTAAAAAATGGGCGGGATACGCAAATTCACATTGCCACCAGTTCAAACCGAACCGGTGGCATAAATGGTAAAGGCCACCGGTTTGAACCCGTGGCAATAATAAATTAAAAAAAAGCCCCCCTTATAAACCCCAAACCCTATCTCATTTCCCTCTCAGTCGCTCTTTCTCTCTCCTACTCTCCCCTCTCCCCTTTCTCTCTCCTGCTCTCCCCTCTCTTCTTTCTCTTTCAATTCGTCTTCTCTGTTCTCATCTCCTTTTCTTCGATCTTCTCCTTTGATCTCCTCGTCTCCTTCTCTTTCATTTCCACCATCACCAAGACCACCACCGCAACAATAAACCATGAAGACATGCACCACGAAGACATGCACGAGGTTTGTGTTTAATTAATCGATTTTTCTTGGTTAATTAATCGGATTTTGTTGGGTTTAATTGATTGATTTTCTGGGTTTAATTAATCATTTTGGAATTGTTTGGGTTTCTTAATCGATTTTAATTTGGTTTTTAATCGATTTTAATCAATTAATTCTGGGTTTTTATTTTTTTGAGTTCGTGAATCAATTTCTTGGTTTTATTCCCTCAGTTTTTTAACTTATTTCTGGGATTTTGTTTTTTTTTTTGTTTAATTTTTTTTTCTAAGTTTTCTTCTGGGTTTTTATTTCATTTCTAGTTATTGATTTTCCTGGGTTAATTAGTCGATTTTGGATTTTTTTGAGTGTTTTAATCGATTTTAATTCGATTTTTAATTGATTTTAATCTATTCTAAGTCGATCTCCTTCTGGGTTCTATTCGATTTAATTCTCATTTTGTTTTTCATTATCGTTTTGAAAATCAATTCGATTTTTTTTAGTTCGATTTCATTCTCATTTTTTTTTTTCTGGTTTTTTTTTCTTTTTTTTTACTGGGTTTTAGTTTTCTGGGTTTTTGTTTAATTTCTGGGTTTTGTTTATATTTTTGTGTGTTTTTTCTGGGTTTATTTAACCGATTTAAATCGATTTATGAGTACCATGCATACTGTTCTGGTTTTTTTTTTTTCGCAGCTTATTTATTTTATTTAATCAATTTTGTTTTTCTTTGATGTAGGTATATTGATTTAGATGTAGATGTTAAATCGAAGAATAAAGATGTAGGATTATTGATTTAGGTGTTATATGAGTTGTTTTTTAATTTTAATGTTGTAATTTTTTTTTTGGTTTTTTATTGTAATTTTTTTTTTAATGTTGGAATTTTAGTTTTGTGTAATTTGATTAATTTAGTTCGTTTAAATTGGAATTGTTGTATGAGTAATTTAGTTGTAGTTATTAATTTAGTTTTTTCACTCTTAAAAAGTGTACAATTACTAGATACTGATGAATATATATGTGTTTTTATGTATTTTACATATATATATATAGTTTCTACTACAATTTAAGTGAAATAAATGCAAATTTTTTTTTAGTTTTTTATGGGCATTATTGCCACCGGTTAACCGGTGGCAATACTTGTTAATACCATTAAAAAAAATGCGGGAAGCATTATTGCCACCGGTTAACCGGTGGCAATATTTGTTTTTGCCACCGGTTTTGAACCGGTGGCTTTTTAATAAGATTATTGCCACCCCCCAAATGGCCACCGGTTCAAAACCGGTGGCATAGGGGGGTTTTGAACCGGTGGCCAATTCATATTTTCGTCTAGTGATTGATCACTAAATTGCATGTTTAAAGGGAATATGTAATTGAAAATCACGACTAATAATATAATTTGGACAACCGGTTTAGGTTCGTTTTTAATCTTGTTATTTAATCAAGTGATCACGATATATTAGGATTATGTTGCATTAATATTAAACCGATTTAGCATAATAATAGTTTGGAGCGAATTGAATTTTTGTTTGTATGCCTTTGAGATCGCAGGAATCACTTTTCACTATAAGAATCGAGTAGAGGCCAATACGGGCGAATGTGACTCCATGACTCACTACGTACCATCATCCCTGATCCTCCTTTCGTGGTTCCGAACCATATGGAGTTAGTAATCTCATGGATTATGAATGGGGTGTAACTTTCACGGGTCAATCGTTGTTGCCTATCGTTGTCCCTTATCGTGGTTGCCTTTTATGATCCGTGAACGGTTTACAAGTTCCTTAAAAACTTGTTGGCAGCTCCCTACTTTCCTTGTCCCTAATCTTATATGTCAATTCCCACTTCCTATGAGTACCAAGCATATTCACACATGCTTTTAACGTAGGAGCACTTTGAGCGACGTCTACACATTGAAATTCCTCACTTTCTTCTCTCTAAAATCTACTCCTAAAACTAACCCAAAACTGGAGAGAGAAAGCTAAGAATATGATCAAAATCTAATATGAAAACTTGCCCCAAAAATCGGGTTTACAAAGATATTTGTAGAGGCGCGAAAACACCAAAAACCGAGCAACAAATACCCAGGGAGGCGCGCCCGCGCAGTAGGGGAGGCACGCCCGCACCATGGGGAGGTGCGCCCGCGCCAGGGGGGTGGTGCGCCCGCACCCGAGCTTTGCGCGGCTGCGCTTCACTTGGTTTCTTCTAAATTCTTGCGGCTTCGTGCGTTCGCTAAGGTCGCGCGACTATGATGATGATGAACACTAGGAGTGGCAGTAGCTAAAGCTCTAGATTAGTGGGTACACCACTTCTTAATGGTAGTACGACATGAGAGCGTAAGAGCCAAGACTTGGAATTTCCACTTTCTTACATCTTGAGCTTTCCAAATGCCGTGAGCTTGCTCCAAAGGCTTTCTCCACCTTAGTAGATCACCAATATCAAGACTCGAACCTCGTACAATACCTACAACCACGGAAATAGAGCAAATAAAGGAGAATAGCTAGAAAACCAACGAAATGCATAAAAGCTACAAAATAAGAGTGGAAAGGTAAAACTAAGCAACAAAGCATAAAACTAAGCATTTATTAAGCAAGAAAGCTATGAAAACAGGATAAAAACAACCTAAATGCTCATCAAATGGGTGCCATTTATGACACCCATGAGTTACCTAAATACTTTCATTATTGAGTCAACTAGGATAGTCTAAGATGTTACAATTCTTGTACTGTGAGAGACAAAGTTAACAGATTAAGCTCATTCAACATGCACCTTGAAAAACTTCTTCCTTTTTGTGTCTTTCTTTTTCAGGAGAGAGTTAGTACCCTTCACAAAAAAATGACGGAAATTGTTTGCTTTTTCGTGCACACACGAGTCATGTACGTTGAGTCATGTCGTGTCGAGTTTAGTCTAACGCATGTATTAAACACTTTGAGTCGAGTCATGACAAGTTTGTGCTAAAAACACATTAAGTCTTAATGGAGCCTTAGGAAAGTCCTAAGATAATTAAAGAGATGAGAAAAGTCCTATAGTTAAAAATATAAATACAGGTACAATCCAAAGAGAAAACGAGGATAAGAGGGGGTTAAGAAAAACTTACACATTAGAGATGAAGAGCTTTAATTTAAGCAGATTTGGTAGAAAGGAAACAACCAAGTTAAAGGTTCGGAGCGAAACCAGGCAATGAACAACAACAACATAAGAAAAGGGTATTTATCTGAAAATCCCGAGTGCAACGCCTGGCGACAAGCAAAAAGCACGGCGACAAGTCCTTCCAGCAAGCGCTGGTACGGCGACAAAGTGTGAAGCCCTGTAATATGGTTATATGGACCTTGTGCAGTAGTTTGGGTTCCTTGGTACGCCAGTTAGCCCCTCTAAACAACTTGACATGATCTAGTAATCAATTCGACTACAATCACATTAAGTGATTGACCTAATAAATGATCGTCTCACTTAGCTTAAAGCGCCTAAGCATTGGCTCATCGGAGGCACCGACATAATGGTTCATAAACAGAAGAGGCACCGACATAATGGTTCACAAGCAGCAAAAGCGCCGACGTACTGGTAATAGCGGAAGCAAAGTTCAAGCGAGCTTTTAAGGATTGACAAGCGTTGATCTTCCGTAATTTCCTTCAAAATATTATCGCAACCACTGGAGATGACTTCAAGCGAAGATATCTTCAACAACATTCCCTAGCTTGCGGAGGGTTGTCACGAACAATTGGAGGTGATTTCAAGCAAAGTTATCTTCGATCATATTCCCTGGCTTGCGGAAGATGGTCGCAAGGCGGTAGAAGATCGTTTCAAGCGAAGCAATCTTCGATAGTTCATTGATCGCGGATGGAAGTAGGTTGTTGGTCTACTAACCTTAACCAAATTAGAAATTTATAATACCTAAACTTACACTAAACAAGTTAGTGGCAAGTAAAGGGTCGAACCACGAAGACTAAGTGTATCAATTTGTGCAAATTAGACTAGTAGGAAAGGTTGTGAGATAGAGAGAGATTAAACCAAACACTACTAAGAGAAAATAACTAAAACTAGGGAAAGTGGAATCCAATCACATCAATGCATTAAACAACATCATACAAATAGATGAAAATGACCTCGATTAGGAACATCAACACATTTAACTCACTCTCGCACAATTAAGCATGTTATTTATCCTACTAAATTAATTCATTCTTGTGCAACTAGCCTAGCAAAGGTATGGAAGAATTTAGGGCTCTCAACCAACTTACTCCCGCACAATTGATTGAAAGCACAATTAAGAGCATAGAATCGATTAGCTAAAAATATTCTAGTCCATAAAAGCATCACCTATACACAATAATCAAGAAACAATTTCATACTAATCACAATCAATCATTCAATTCATTAATATAACCTTCATCCAATTCCCTAGAACAAGACCTAAGCTAAAATAATGAAGATAGACATGGAAAACAAGGTAAAATAAGAATAAAAACAAGATTAAACAAACAAACTAATTAATCTACTCAAATCAACAAACAAAAAGCAAAAACTAAGAATTAAGCAAAGAAATAAAGATGAGAGAAAGTTAGAAAATGCTCATTGAATAGATGAGAAGAAGTTCAACAAAGTTGCTTCTTCAACCTCTCAAAAACTCCATGGAAATCTAAACTTTATCTCTCTACAACTACTCCTAAACTAGAGAGAGAAAATCCTAATCTATCTAAAAGAGGCTAAACTAATCTAATCTATCTAAAATAAAATTTTGATTGAAAGTTAAGAGAGTATTAACCCCAAAAGGGATATTTATAATACAAGGAAAATAAAAGACAAATAAAAAGAAAACTAACTAAACTAATTAAATGACAAAACTAAGAATAAAAAGGAAGGAAAGGAAAAAGAAATTAAAAAGGGAAAAAGCAAACAAATCCCACCAAAAACAATCAGACCCCCGTAATTCCCCTTTCTCGTGGTTGCTCTAATTCTCATCATCAATTCCATCGCACGCATCTTCACCCTTCATCGACATCAATCAGAAAAAATCTTCATCAAGCATAACTAAATCGCGGCCCTCCGATTTTCAATAAGAGTCACGCGCGAAGCTCGTGAAATGGTTTGGTCGAACCATGGGTTGGTGCGGCCGAACTACGGGGTTAGTTCGGTCGAACCATGGGTGTGTTCGACCACACCTCTTCAAATTACAAAACCTCAAAAGTTTCTGACTCATACTTCGACCGAACTCCTATTCGGTTTGCTCGAACCCAAATGAACTTAAATTGCTCTGAATTTGGGTGATGCTTGTGCGAATTGATGGGGTTGATTTGGGTTTGCGGTGGCCGAGAATCGCAGGGAAGAGTTGCGGTTAATTGTCGTGGTTTTGGTGGACTGATGTGTGTGGTACGGTGGTGTTGCGGGTGCGCGAAGGAGGAGGGGATTGTGACGGCTGTTGCGGTGGTGATTGATGGTTAATTGTTGTTGTTTGTTGGGGAATTGGGAGCAATTTGGCTGGTGTGCGTGGTGAATTCGGGGGCTAATGGTGGTTGTTGGCGGTTTGTGAGCTGCGGGTTGCGTGAGGTGGTGAATGGAGGGGGAGAGGGGTTGCTGCTTGGTGTCGTGGTGAGTTGATGCGGCTGGTTGTTGTTGGTGGTTCAGGGCGGTAGATTGGAGGTGAGTTGGAGTTGTTGCAGGCGTTGTTGTGGCTGTGATAGGTGGGTGCTTTGATGGAGATTTTGGTAGCTGGTGGAAGGTGCGGTTTATGGGAGCAGGGGAGCTACTCTGGTGGTTGTTTGGTGTGTGGAAGTGGCTATTGACTTTTGACATGAATTCGGAAACCGAACTCACTTGACATAAAACCCGAACACCTACACACAAAACCGAAGAAAGGAATGAGAAAAATAAAATAGATATAAGTAACCCGAACACACCTACAACCAAAAACCGACACGAGGATAAAACAAAATATAATAAAATAAAACGAAGTAAAAATAAAATAAAATTAGTAAAACAAAATAAATGACTAAATTAAAACAAATAAGAAAATGTGAGAAACTAGGAACTTTTTATATAACAAG